ACTACGCACTTCAGCTTCTGCCTTTGCTGTGCTTGGACGCAATTTCGCTATGCTGCTTCCTATTGCAAAAATATCAATAATGTAAATGTTCTTGAACAGGCACGACTAGGGTGTCAAGTGATGTGTGCGACATAATGTCAATTGGAAATAAAAATGGAATTAAAATTGCCTCGACTGCCAAGTTTTATTTACGAAGTCAACACCTTAGCTTACGATGCAATCAGAATACCTCCTCTGCAATATAGGATAACTACGCATCAACAGTGCTCCATCTTTTCCTTTCCCTTGTGCTCATAATATATCATATATATCCACTCTGTTACTCGGCTCAGTGGAGCTCAGTTTCTTTTATTCTTATATGTTTGTAAATTGTGCATTTTTTGCTTTAAAAATTATTGAATTATGTTTTTCTTATCTTCCAGTTAAGGTTTTTATGCCTTTAATAAATCTGCATGCAATGTTTGTGGAATTATCAACAATTTAAAAGTTGTTTAAGTGCAGCTAAGCCTAATGAATTTTGCAATGGCGGACATGTTTGTTTACATTTTAAACTTGGCAAAATAGCGGCTTTGTTGCCAATCTAGAGAAACTAAGCTTCGCAACAACAAAGATAATGCCTTCTTTTTTATAGCGAATTAAATCATGCTTCATCCATTCTGGAATTTATTCAAGGAAATAAGTCTTTCAGATTTACTTCGTAATTTTTAATATAGATATTTTGAGTTTTTATGTATTTTTGCCTTGTTGGGAAGTAAGAACTAAATTAGTTGAATGAGAAATACTGAATCGTCTGTGAAAAAAAATTTTTTTTTTTTTCTTTTTACTTAGTTTCTTTTATACATCGTTTTAGATTTATTATAGTATTTGAATAGAACATGTGGCAACGATTAGGTAATTCTTCAAATTAAATAAATTTATATGCATTCTGAGTTATAATTTGGATGAAATGTAACACTGTTAAGTGAACCTAGCGCCAGTGTCGCTATTAAAGAAATATAGGGAATTATAAAATGTGCATTTATTCTAGTGTGGTTTATGCACTATCGACAAAGTAGATTTAATTCAATCCAATAAGTTTAAATGAAATGCAAGAAAAAATGTGTAAAATTTAATATTCCATGCAAGGAATTCATGTGGTGTACACATCAATTTTTTTTTATTCGTTATAACGAAGGTCACACCATGTTGAGTCGTACTGTAACGGAAGACAACACGTGGGTTTCACATGTCACGCCCAAATGGAAATGACAGAGCATGGAGTGGAAACATACACACTCTCTTGTAATGGTCAAGGCCAAACAGACTCCGTCCCAGCGAAAGATTATATATATGGCATCCATGTTTGGATAGGCACAGTGTTTTGTTAGTCGACTTCATGCAATGTGGAACCACCATAAATGTGGTAGCCTACTGCCAAACCCTGCAAAAGCTACGCAGAGCGATTCAAAACAAAAGGTATGGCATGCTTAAAGAGGGAATTTTGCTACTCCATGACAATGCAAGGCCTCACACTGTAGCTCAGACCTGAGCTTTATTGCATTGTTTTGGCTGGGAAGTTTTGGACCTCCCCTACAGCCCAGGCCTTGTGCTGAGAGATTTTCATTTTTTCCACTGTCTCAAACATCATCTTGGTGGCAACAGCTACAACGATGACAAAGATGGGTAAACAGCTGGGACCTCTTAGTTATCAGAGGAGGTGACAAGTTTCTATGAAGAAGGTATTCAACATCTTGTTCTAAGATATGATAAGTGTTTAAACAACTATGTTGAAAAATAGAGAAATGTGTGTAGAATCTAAAAATAAATTTGGTTTGGGGGAGTTTTCTTTTGTTTGGTTTTTATTTTCAAATGTCCCTTACTTAAAAAACATCCCTCGTGTATTAGAGTTCAGGTGTGTATGTAGTTTTGTTTAAAGTTAATAAGGTTTTTTGAAGGAGATCAGTTTTCATTAGTTATGACTCAACGGCATTTCTTAAGTGAAGAGCAGAAGTGGTAGTTAATTAGTAGACTTAAAGGGGAAGCAAATTCAAATGGAGGTTGCCCAGGATCTGAATATTGTTCAAAGTATCATATCAAGAACATGAAACTGCTTTTTAAGCAGTTAATCAGTAGATAGTCTGATGAAGGTTTGCTGATCAAGGTTTGTCTAGAGCAGTTGTTGGCAACCTATGGCATGCAGTACAATACTCAGTGACACTTTACACCACTCTATAAAGCTATCAGGCAAAGATAAATCACCTTCTCTCCTCTCTGCACTGTCAGGAATGTTTAGTTGCCAAAGTTTTCTCACAGGACTTAATTTCTTCAATCACCACTGTTGTTAAAATAATTAATTTCATAGTGTCTCGTTCTTCATTGGTACACAAGCAGTTTAAACCTCTTTTAGAAGAAATGGAAAGCAAATATTTCAATTTCCCCTTATACATCCAATGTCAATTGGCTTAGTTGAGGTAATATCTTGAATAAGTTTGTGTGACATATGAAACACATTAAAGTTTTTATTAATGAGAAGATTCGAAATTTTCCCAAATTGAATGATAAAGAAGGTTTATGCAAATTGAATGTTTCCGACTGACATAAGTAAACATCTCAATGAACTAAGGATTGCAAAAAAAGGGCTAAACAGTGCTTGAACTTTTTTTGAATATTGGAAAAGCTTTGCTACAAAATTAAATGTATTTAACCATGATATTGATACTAGTACCTATAAATACTTCTCAAATGTAAAGTGCTTGCAAATACATTGACCTTAGGCAAAGATGAACGTCAATTCTATGCTGAAGCATGCAAGGAGGAATGTTCCAAAAGTTGGACATTAACATCATATTAAAGAAAGATTTCTTGCAAAACAAGAGGATTTTTTTCCATCATTTATAGATTTCTATAAATTTGAGAATTCCAAACCAAGCGCATTTATTATCTTACTACATCCATAATCATCTAATTATGAATGTTGGAGGAGATCATATAAAAAGATGTTCCCTAATTAAATTTTGCTACATTTTTTTTTCTTTTGGTTCTAAACATATTATCACTTTTTCACTACCTATTATTTATATTTTGCTATCCTTTCAAAAGAGTTTAATGTTTTTGTATTACTGTATGCCTCTATAAATTCATATATATATAATGACAAAGACTTAGCAAGCAATGATGTAGAAAAATTGATTGCACAGATATGTAGAAATATTGGTGGCATAGATATGCAGATTGTAGATTCATAATGAAGCATAAGGATTTTGATGACTTAGAATGCTAAAATGTTGATTTGTAGCAAACAGGCAACTGCCAGCCAAGGCAGAATAAATCTTCATTTTTATTTCAGTAAGCATGTTGTGACCACAAAAACTTGGCTCACTGGTCGTGCCTATTTTGAAATGTTTATATCTTTTTATAGTTTGCAGAAGAGAGCAGCAAACAACAGTCCAGCTAGGCTGAAGCGTAAAAGCAAGTGTGTTGTGTTCAGGTTGGATTGGAGGGCGACTGTTCTCTTATCTTAAGTCAGACTTAGTTTTGGTTATCAATGCATTTTAATTGGATAATAAATACTGCTTCAAAATTGTTATTAGCTGTTTGGGTTTTAGTTCCATTTACATTATCAATGTTGTGTACGAGTCGTATAACGTGGATTAGTCTTGAAATGACACAGTGCAAAAAGGGATTACTGTCTTTAGAATAAAGAGTTTAAGTACCAAATTAAGCATTAAGGAGCTATTTCTAAGTTAAATAATAATTTATCTTTCACATATTTTTTATCTTGCATATTCCTCCCTTTAAAGAGAAAAAGGCTTGGTTACAGAAAAGTCTTTTTAAGAGATAAAGCATTAAAGCATTAGCAAATGAAGAGAAATCATTTGAAAACTACAAATCATAAAATTTTGTCCAAAATAATTATTTAAATAATTGAAAAATATAATCTTTGATAATATTTAACAGTCCTATGAAAATTTTCAATTTAAAAGTAGGTGCATTTTTGAGTCCACATAGTCACATTTTTTCATCATGAGCTTTTGAAAGCTTTACACATATTATCAAAATTATAAAAATTTTATACACACACAACTTACTTTCACAACAACTAAATCACAACAAATTTCAAGATTTTTTGTATAAATAATTTTCATTATTTGTATTTAACATCATAAATTTTATTATAATATTAATGAAATTGTGGTTTTCGCTGTTATTATAACATTTTTAATTTCCTTATCTTTCACAAAACTGGAAGACCTTACTGCTTTCTCTAAAAACAAGCATTTCTATTTCTTGGGTTAATCCACATCAACAAATTGATGTATATTCACCAGTTGTTAAAGGGGCTAGGCAGGCTACTAATTAATGCATGTATTCTTGATTAAGGCAAATCGTCCTCTTTTTTTAACTGCATTATATGTAAAATATTAATTATATATGAAAAAATTATAAGGTTAGAGTGTACATTATATGTGGAGGGGAAGAGGAATAATTATACAATGATAATAACAGGCCTCTGTTTCTGAATCAGTACTTCCTCAGCATACTTTATATTGAATTAGTCATTACATAATTATAATAGGCATCTACCATAACTTGAAATTATATTTTCTTACCCATGTCACATTTTAATCACATTACACATATTCAATTTCATTACAGCATTGCTTGCCAAGTCTTTTTCATTACATATACTTTAATATTTTTTGGTTATTTATAAATAAAAAAATAAACTTTGTCATATTATAAAAAAATTTGCTCTTTGAAATTATTTTTAATTCTGCTCATAGTATTATATATTTCTTATTAACATGTAGCCTTTTAAAATATTAAAACATAAAATTGAATAAAATTTCTTTAAGTAATGAACATTTTTTATCATTTAAAATACATCAATATATATTTTATATGATTTGAAGTTACTGTTTAATATTTTCTTTTGTTGATTATCAATTATGTATGTTAAACTTCATCAAGCATGATAGGAGTGGTTTATCCATTATGATTTTTTTTAATTATTATTCTAGATCCTAAAGTATGTGAATATTGCGCAATATGTCTATCTGATTCAAATGGAATCACTTTGTACAGCATACCAGAATTAAGAAGATTTATATCTTACAATTACTGCTGCTTGGAAAGTTTAGAGTAAGAAAATTTTGATTTATTTTATAACTTCCTCGAACCATTTTTAATCCAATTTAAGCCTTTTTTATAAAAATTATTAAAATTTTTTATAAAAAGTAATTTTTTAAATACAGAAAACTATTTTTTTAATTTAGGAAATATTTGCAATTTTTAATATGCCTTTGCTTCTTATATACAACTCTGTCAGAATTTCCAGGATATATGGCTGTATCAAAGAAGTTTAAATTTGACCTGGATATTTTGTCGAGGTCAGATTTAGATTTTTTTAATAAAAAAAAAAAAAAATTCAAAAGCCTCAGATGTTAGGCCACTATCTTCTTGTGTTCAGCATAAAATGAAAACATAGACTGATGCAAGTATTTCCAGCGATTTGCTGAGGCTAAATTAATTTTTTTTTTTTTTTTTTTTTTTTTTTTTAAGACAATATTTTTATTTTAATTGTTAGTAGTGTTGCATTGTCTCTTCAGATAATTATCTTAAAATTTTCTATTTATTCATTCGAACTGAGCATTTTAAATATATTTATTAATATAAATTTTCCAGAATTTGATTTTATTTATTTGAATTGCGTTTCTTTTGGAAGAATACTTTGTAACCCAGATTACGATGCATTTGAAAACTGCATATATTAAAAGAGAAAATACAGTAAAGCACAGTTAACACGCCTTTCAATGTTCTGTTCAGAAAATATATATATAAATAAGAGAGATGTATAATTGACATTTTAACTTAGTATGACTTGCATACACTGCTTTAAACACTTTCCCTTCAAATTTTTGCTTACTTTTCTCCCTAATTTTCTTCTTTCCTTCTACAGTTATTTTCAGTGCTTACACAAGAAACTGTAACAGCTTTAAATAATATTAAAATCTTGTAGATTAAATAATTTAAATAGATGAACATTAAGGTATTTGTGAATCACAATATTTGAAACCAGACTCGAGTGCCTCGTGCGACTCTCGCACGAAGAATGTAATTCATTTTTAATTGATAGATTATGTTTTCTCTTCTTGTTTGTATGTCGCCATTTTTTTGAGTGTTAAATAAAAGTTATTGCTGTGTTCCATCATTGGAGTTGCTTCATTTCGCCAAAGAAGTATCACAGTCTTAATTATTTTGGAGGCACCGACCAAGATCGAATAATCGTGCGTATTTTTATTTTATTAGTTCATCACTGAACATATTATTAGTGATACCAGATTGTTACTTCCTGTTCATATAGAATTGCTTTATTTTATTAGTTCATCACTGAACACAATATTAGTAATACCAGATTATTACTTCCTGTTAATAATAAATTGTCTTATTTTATTACCGTATTTGATATTATATTTAATATTCATTTTAGTTGTCCATACGGTAGATATATATATTGCTCTATGTTATTATTTTTATTTTAATCACAATTAATGTGGTAGAGAGAATGAACTTCATATAATTTAAATATTTCATTTTTTTTTTTGAGCTATTTTGAGGAAAAATATAGGAACACAGTGTTCGTTAATTTTAAACATAGAAACAATGTCTTACTTAGGAAGAGCTCGTAAGGAAGATTTGCAAAATCTCGCGGCTGAACTGGGAGTTCATGTGACTGCAGATTTGAAAATAGTTGATTTAAAACAGAAAATTGTTGAAAGTAGAGATTATGATGAAGTCTTCGTGAAAGGAGTCTTAGACACAATAATAGAAGAACGGAAAGAGAGGGAGGAAAGGGAAAGAGAAGGAAAGGAAAGAGAGGGAGGAAAGGGAAAGAGAAGAACGTAGGAGACAGGAAGAAGCAGAAGAGCGGAGAAGAAAAGAACAGTATGAATTAGAGAGATTAAGACTTGAAGCAGAGACAAAGTCTCAAAATACCGGACAGATCCGGCCGAAAACGGAGCTGCGTCACCTTATGCAGAAATTCGATGACAAGAAAGGAGATATCAGTCTATATTTGCTATTGTTTGAAAGGCAAGCAGAATGGGCTAAAATTGATAAAGAAGAATTTGTATCTCATTTACTAGGACTACTTCCTTACGAAGTAACCCAGTTAATAGCTAGAGAACCCTCCGATAAAGCTAAAGACTATGAACACGTGAAAAATTTATTGTTAAGACGGTTTAAACTAAGCCCGGAAAAGTTTAGGCAGAAATTTATGAAACATCAAAAAAGAGTACCGAATCCACATGGGTGGATTTCAATTATGAAATAGAAAATTATTGCAAAGAATGGGTGACTGGTCTAGGAGTTAAGACTTTTGATCAGTTGCTAGATTTGATGGTGATTGACCAACTTAAACGTCGAGTTCCTCCTGAAATTCGAGATCATTTTCTTGATGAATGGGTAGAGATGATTTCATCTAAAAAATTAGCTGAAAAACTTGATGCCTATGAAAACGTTTGCGGAAACTTTCAAAAAAGGCCTGTAGTGGATCGGCAGAAAGAAAGAAAGAAAGATACAATGCACTAACTCAAGGTAAATTGAGTTCAGATAATAAAAATAAAACTGAAAAAAAAAAAAATTGTCATCAGGATTTAATTCGCAAAGCTGGTTTCATAGACCTAGAAGTCCACGTCCAGATGATAAATATGAAAAACGAAAAACGCCACAATGCTATCAGTGTGGGTCCTATCAACATTTAAGACCCCAATGTCCAAAACTTAAGAATAGTACTGAATCTCCTGCTAATCTTAACAGAATTAGTGCAAAACCAGAGGATAAATTTCTATTACCTTATACTAGTATGGGTTACGTAAATGGTCATAAAATTCCTATATTAAGGGATTCAGGTGCTAGTATTGATATAGTTTGTCGCAAATACATCACGCCGGAAATGCTGACAGGTGAAAATGTGTGGGTGCAACAGCCATTAGATTTGAATCCAACCTGTTTACCATTGGCTGAGATCGAACTAAATTGCGATCTTGGGCGAGTAATAACTAAGGCTGCCATTATTAGAAATGAACTCGACAAAGGAAGGTATTTATTAGGCAATCGAACTTTTGCACTGTTGAATAAAACAAGGAAAGGAACCTGATAGTTGTCCTCACCAGGTTAATGCTGTCTCTACTAGAGCTCAAAGAAAGAAAAGAGAAATAGCCGAAGAGAAGATCTTGGAACCGATGAAGGAAGAAAATAAAGCATCCAGAGATGTTTTTTGAAGAAGAAGATAATTTACCGGAGCTAAATTCGGAAGATGAAACTCTCATGAAACTGGTAAAAAATTGACTCAGAAGAAATTGCACAACTTCAGCTTGCTGATAAGGAACTGTCTAAAATCATCCAAGAAGTTAAAGAAGGTACATGCAAAAATGAGAACTATAGTCTGACAGGAAAAGAACTTTTAGTTAAAAAAACGACGGATAAAATGGGCTTTGCTTTGAAAGACAGCTTGTCGTTATACCTGAAAAACTCAAGCCGTCAATTATAAAGATGTGCCACGAAGGAACTTCTGGTCATTTGGGTGTCAAAAAGACCAAAGACAGACTTGCTAGATATTTTTACTGGACGAGGTGTTACAAAGAAACTGAAGATTTTGTAAGAACCTGTGATGCTTGTCAGCGCGCTGGAAAAGGAAATGACAAAAAGAAGGCTCCAATGACATTAGTACCAGTAATTTCCGAAATATTCACTAAAATAAATGTCGATGCCGTTGGTCCGCTACCTATTTCAAAGACTGGAAAAAAATATATTATTACAGCTCTGTGTATGTCGTCCAAATATCCAGATGCTGTTGCGGTGACAGACATTTCTTCGCCATCTGTGATTGATGCTTTCTTACAGATTTTCAGTCGTATGGGTTTCCCAAAAGTGATCCAAACAGATCAGGGGACCTCTTTCGTCAGTGCTTTGACAGAGGAATTTTTGGAGCGTTTCGGCATTAAACATGTAAGAAGCTCTGTGTATCATCCGCAGAGTAATCCCGTTGAGCGATTCCATAGAACGCTAAAAAGGGTGTTAAGAGTCGTATGTATAGGAGCGACTTCGGATTGGGAGAATTATCTACCATCAGTTCTTTTTGCTCTCAGAAGAACAGTCACACACGAAAGCACTGGTTTTACACCAGCAGAATTAGTTAGTTCATGGCAAAAAACCTACGAACGCCAGTCACTTTACTTTATGAGCAGTGGCTAGAACCGATTGAAGAAAGTAATAATAATGTTGTCAGTTACGTTTTCGAACTTATTAATCGAATGAAGAAATGCCAAGAACTTGCCGTGGAAAACATGAAAGAAGCTCAACAACGGAGGAAAACATGGTACGATCGAAACGCAGTGAAAAGAGAATTTGCTAGAGGAGATTTAGTTCTTGTTTTATCAACGAATCGTCAAAATAAACTAGAAGTACAGTGGAAAGGACCTGGAAAAATAGAGCAGAAAATTTCAGAAACCAATTATATTGTAAGTTTCGAGGAACAAAATGAGCCAAATCAAGTATATCACATTAACATGCTTAAACCATATTACAAAAGACCAGAAATGATTAATATGATAACTGAAGTGGAAGGAGACTTAGAAATGGACATTCCTCGTTTACCTTCCAATCCAAGTATATTAAATTTCTCGGACATCATAGAGGAGAATGAACTCGAGAAAAGGTTGAAATCCGAGCAAATAGAAGATTTACGAAAGATTTTATGGAAATATTCTGGTTGTTTTTCAAATAATCCTGGACTAACAAACTTAGTTTGTCACGATATTGAGCTATTAAATAACGAACCAATACAAATAAAGCCATACAGACTGTCACCCCGACAGACTGAAATTCTCAAAAAGGAAATACAGAAAATGCTCGATCTTAAAATTATAGAGCCGGGAGAATCGGACTATACATCTCCCATGATTTTGATAGAATCTTCATCAAAGGATCCTCGGCCTTGTATTGATTATCGTAAACTCAATGCTGTTACTAAAACTGAATACTATCCTTTGCCTAATATTGAAGAACGTATCGAAACTGTAGCAAAAGCAAAATATATTACCCTATTAGATTTATCTAGAGGCTACTGGCAAATTCCGTTA